TTTTATTTATAGATTCATTATTATGCTTGATGTTACTTAACTAAACTTGCCTAATCTAAACTAATTTAGATTACCCTAGATAAGTAACAATGACTGAGAAATGCACTTTCAAAATCTTCTAACTATATCTTTATTCTCGAAAATGCAAGTCTAATTTAATATTCAAAATCAATCATTTAAATAGCTATTCTAGCCATAAAACCGGTTTACGATGTGTGATATATTTCGACCAATAAGACTTCGAGAATACATTAAATTATTCCTAGTCTAATCTAGTGAATTTGTAATATTACTATAGATTAACTTTATGTTTGTCCTAGCTTATAATTAACAGGATTTATATTGAAGTTGCCATTGACAATTCATATACCATATTTAGTATAATTTAACCTGTATTAGGAACAGGTTTGTATCGGCTATACTAAATCATCAAATAATTCATGCACATATCCAAATTAATAACTATCTTAACATGATACATATACATGTCTAAATTAAGTAAGTTATCATTCATCACGGTAGATTCACTACCGTGACACTTGATCAGGTATAGGAGACAAAAAGTAGAGTTGATAATTTGATGAAAGAAACTGCCATAGTACAAGGTCAGCGGAAGAGAAGAGTACTGCTCGTTATTGCAGATAGATGCGTGTGTTTTTCCTTAACACGGTAAAATTTATAACTATTTCCAGCTTTTAGATTGGAAATAAAGTAGCTATTAATGTCGTATTGCTTTCAATACATATGTATGCGTATTCCTTAGCAATTCCATACATGTATTATAAGATCATAGATTCCTAAAATTCCTAAAATTACTGTCTGCAAAAGTTTAGGTGTCTATCATATGGCATATTATTGTAGTATTACTCTTCATACCCCTGCTCTACCTCTACGATCATAAATACGAATGTCAATGACTACGCTGGCAGATATACGTAATACCTCGCAGTACTTGGCACAAAGCAAATAATGATCCAATAAGATTTTAATTTACGTGTAGTGATGGACTCATATTTGATTATACGGATAGCTATGTTTGATATAGTTAAGTTACTTTGAATAGATATTATCGTGAAGCTAATATTAAATGATTGCTAACTAATATATTAGAAATTGTTGATGACTAATAGTAGCCACTTGACTAATTATGGTACAAGATTTATGTAGCTAGAAATACTGTAGCTGTTAAGATGCCCTTCGGAGAAAGGGGCTAGACGTTAATAGAAGAGTAGTGACATCTTAAGTAGAATGATTTAGATTTTAGAAAATAATGATGTACTATTTGAGAAAAGGATTTAGTTTGATGACTCATGTCTGATTGTAGATTTATCAAATTGTCATAAATGGATTTAACTAAATGTATATAAGAACTGCAGAGATGAACTCACGAGGCAAAGAGATTTCACTTCGCTTTGAGCTCGGAATACCTTAGATTTTAGACTAGATTCCTGTAGTAATTAATTATCTCTCTACTATTTCTAAAATATTGTAATAAAAGCCTTTTAGAAAATACCATTTGACTAAAATAGTTATTGTGAGATGCATTTATTATATTATGCTATATAAGATCTCTGTAATTCAATATTCTGTAGAGTTAAGATCACAGTACTGGTAGCGTGAGCTAAGAAAAACAATAAGGTTATCTAATATGCAATACGCGTATACCGATAATTAATATTCAAAATACTGTAAGTTAAGCATTCGTTACGGCTAGGACATAATTTGGATTAAATTTATCGACAAAATTGAATTTTTAGCTCATATAAAAACATCATACTAAATACCGGCTACGATACTATCAATAGAACATTATTCTAATATATTTAATTTCGATCGTTTACAGCATATAAGCATTAAGTTGATGAATTTTTATTAGTAATAATAAACAATTCTTAAATAAAAAGTTCAATCTTTATATGTAATTCTACACAGTACTACTGTGCTAGTTAACATATACACGTTTAGCTCTATTCATTTTAAAAAATAAAATAACAGCTATTATTAATAGTAATCCGGACAATCCTGATAGAACAAATGTTGGAATCATGTATACGGACTCCGAAGAATGCGGTTTTATTGGAGTAGTTCTATTAGCCGGTGTTACTGTAGCATGAGTAGGTTGCATAGCAATTTGTGGAAGATACTGATTCCAAAAGGCTGTTTGCGTAGCAAAATGATTACTTGTAATTCGGAAATTGGGAGCAATCCATAAGTGCTGTCTTGTATCTTGTGTATATTTGAGCCACGTAATAGGAGAATTTAAATCTGTGGGGTTTCTAGAAATGTTATAAAGAGATAAAAATATATTTA